CCTCCCCCCCGCCCCACACCCTTTTCCCTGTGAAACAGAGATTTAGGACTGCAGAAAGCCTGGGTCGGAGCAGAGCTCGCAGCCCCTGCGGCGATGCAGCTGAAAGCCCGGGTAGATGCTTGCAGAGGGCGCTGCAGCAGGCGCTCTGCTGAGGAAACTGCCTCTTGGTAGACAAACAGCATGTGCTGTGCAAACCAGTACCCAGCTGGAGGGGGGAAACTCCTCTTTCCTACATGTAAAGAAACAGGAGGACTCCGCTGCAGCTCAGAGGGATTTTGTGATCATCAGAAAAACCACCCATCCCTGGTTCCCAGTTGCTTTTCCTCTGTGCTTTTCATCTGATGCTCATCAACTTCCATCTCTTCCATCCCGTCCCTTCTCCCTTCTCTCATTCTTGGGCTCTGCTTCAGAGCAGATAGCCTGGGCTCCACTGGAGGAGGCAGGGTCCCATCTCCAGCTCGCACAAGCAGCAGTGACTAGCACAAGGACATACTTTTGGATGGGAGCAGGGCAGTTGTCCTGCTGCGTGTAGCACAGGTTAGGTGTAAGGAAGATGGAGCATGCTCAGGGAGGTGAAACCTTAGAAGGTTTTAGCTGCTGCAGTGAATTCCTGTTGAATATGGAAAAACTGCTGCGTTTCAGATGTTTATAGCTTGGCCAAGTGTGGACAGATTTCGAGTAGGACAGGAAAACTCTCTGTTAAAAGGGTTATTCTGCAGCAAAGTCGCAGATCCCCTTTCCAGGATTTGCAGTTGCTGGGTTAGCTCAAGGAAAAGGTTGTAAGTGGGCTTTTGCTAACAAGGGTAAGGCACTATCTTGTTTCCTTGCCTCATTCTCACAAGTAGCCGAACTCTTTTGGCTATAGACTTCTAGAAGAATTTGGGCTGAGACAGGCACCCAGCATGGAAACTTCAGCTCCCATAGTTAAAGCCTGAGCCAACTGGAAAAGGGTCTTATGAGTGGCTAGTGTCAGGCAGGCTTAATAACACAGTGCTCAAAGCTCTGCCTGCAAAAGAGAGAGCTCATGTCCAGCATCTGGAGCCCTGACATCTGCAGGGGGTTTGCAGAAGCTCTCACTTATTTTTCTGGTGCAGAAAGACAGGTCTTGGAGGCAAATTCAAGCCTAGAAAGTGTGGGGTAATGTACATTACCCAGCCTGCTGTTTCAGGTTGCAAGGGATTGATGACACTCCTCCTTTAACACACTCTGCCTGCTCCTTTCTAGCCCTGTGCAGCGTTGCATGTACCTCAGGAGTTTTGCTGGTGTGGTTGATGCGAGGCTACAAGTGACCAAGAAACACATCTAGCCTAAGAAAGCTCCCTGCTGTGACCACAGCGTGATTCCATGGGCTGGTACAGGAGGTGGTGGTGCAGCATATGAGGGTAAGGGCTCACCCCAAGTCAGTGTTAGCTGCAAGTCCCGAAGCCCTGAGCTTACACTGTGGTTTAACAGCAGTTATTTAGGTAGTGGTGCCTCCTCTCCCCCCACACAGCACTTTTGATGGCGATGGCACCGCTGAAAGGTGACATTTGTAACTCCAACAAGCTGCGTGCTCCACTTCACAGGGTGGCTGCGCAGGCGGGAGCTGGGGGGTGACGTGGTGACAGGAGCTGTTGAGCTGATGCCGGCGTTAACAGGACGTGTCTGCCCGGTTGCAAGGAGAGAAGGTGGAGGGGGAACGTGTTGTGGTTGGTGATGCTCAGCCTGGGGTTGTGCTGGATACTTCCCTGTGGAGTATCACTGGTGGTGGCACGGAAGAGCCACGTGTCCGTGTGGCACCTTCTTTTCCCTGTGATTTCTGTCCATAGTCTGCTCCATGTCCTGGCTGTGTGGCTTCAGTTGTGGGACTATCGGAGGGATTTCTGATTACAGCTGATCTGGGGCCTCAGGGGAGGAAGTGGTGTATGGATGTGTGGCAGCTTTAGCTGATGGGATGCCATCGATGCCACCTGAACATGTCTGTGGCACCGAGCTTTTGGTGACTGCCTGTGGGGACAGGATGTGGCATTGCCTGTGGACCTGATGCTGTAGTTCTGCTTCTCCTGCACCCGCTGTGCATGTGGGAAACAGTTCAGGGAATTACAGGGTTTGCCCTGACCTGGGTGGTCAGGATCTCTCTGCCTGCTCTTGTTGGTGGTGTCCCCAGTTACACAAGTGCTGTTCAACTGCAGAGACAGGAATCATCCCAGTGTCATTCCAACCTCCAAGAACATCTCTTTCCACGAAGTTCCTGTTTTAATGCATCGTGCATGACCAGCAGCACATTGCTCAGCTCAGAGGTTACAATGCCCCAGGTGCTCCACAGCAGATTTGTTGCTCCAACCCCCTTTCAGCACATCTCTGTTTCTCTTAGTGCCATTGTGGGCTCAGACACTTTGTCCTGTGGGTGACAGACCTTGCTGTGGGTGCTGAGAGCTCAGTTCCTTACTGCCCATCACCTAAAACACTGCACAGGTTTCTAGCTAAGCACCCCAATTTCAGGAGCCCTTTGCTCATACCTTCACCTTGACTTGTCTTCTGTGGCAGTGGCTGCGGGGGCGCCGGGGGGCCCCCCCCCCCACCACAGTTGTGACCACTGGCTCCGGGCTCCCAGCTCCATGAAATCCAAGGCTCTTGCTTCCCAAGGAACGTGGTGAAAAGGGACAAAGAGAAAGTTTCTCTTGATTTATGTTTTTTTGTGTAAACTGGGTGTGAGCTGGTGGGGACATGGTTCGTGTCTGCAGCAACAGGAGGTGTTTGGAGCTGGGGCTGTAGTGCTCAGCTGGAGTGAGCGCATCACAGATGGTTGTAGCTGTGACAGCTCATGTGCAAGGAACGTTTTTACTCTCTTTTGGTTGTTTAATGTTGTTTGGGAACTTGTAGCCTGTGAGAAGAGCTGCTGGTGGCAGTGGGAAGGGTTGAGGTGCTGGTACCAAGCCTGGCCATGGCCACTGCAGAGCATTGCCCCAGCACTTGAAGTCAATCTCTGAAATACATCAGGGCTGTGCAGTGCTCATGACCTTATCCTCCAATACCTAAAGGGGCTACAAGAAACCTGGAGAGGGGCTTTGGCCAAGGGCCTGTAGGCACAGGACAAGGGGAATGGCTTTAACCTGTCAGAGGGGAGATTGAGATGAGCCCTTGGGCAGAAGCTCTTCCCTGGGAGGGTGCGCAGCTCCAGTGCCCAGAGAAGCTGTGGCTGCCCCATCCCTGGCAGTGTTCAAGGCCAGGTTGGACACAGGGGCTTGGACCACCCTGCTCTAGTGGAAGGTGTCCCTGCCCGTGGCAGGGGATTGGAGCTGGAGGAGCTTTAAGGTCCCTTCAACCCAAACCATTCCATGATTCTATGATCTCGCCCGAGTGCGGGAGGAGGGCGCGCGGGGCAGACGACTGTAATTTCTTGCACTGGACCGTGGCCAGAGCACTGGGACTGACACTCTTAATTGTGGGAAAGGCTTCATGAAAGAGATTTACTGTCCCAGAGTGGTCACATCTTTAGTTTTATGTTTCCTCCAAAAGCTGACAGCCCCTGCAGTACAGCACTTCCTACCATCGCTCTGCGGCACCAGCTCAGCCCTGCCTCTGGGAACCCTCGTTCGCTGCCAGGCGCCTTGGTGCCACCCTGGGTTACCCTCAGTGGGCTCCCCACTGGGTACTGAGTCACTGCCAGCTGTAAGAACTGGCCAAATGAAGCCTACAGATCTTCCTCCTGTTTTTTCTTGTATTTTTTAAGTGTTTTAGCTTTTTCCTGGTTGTTTTTAACCTTCCCCCCCATTGCTCTGGAATAATTTGCACTTAAAACTCCTCCATTTGTTCTCTGCACCTCAGATGTTTTGCTGGCCCCACAGCAGTGGGGTCTCAATGTCTTGCTTTAGTTCTCTTGCCCTTTGCTCAAAAACCCCTTGCTCTGCCACATCAGAGGAGTTCTGCTTCCAGCACCTTCTCCTTGTTCTCCTTCCCTGTCCTTGTGCCGCAGCTTTACTCACACGGGCACCCATTTGGAGCCAGCACTTACGTGTTTGCATTCCCTGCATCCCTCCAGGGAAGCCCCCAGCCAGCTGCTCTTCCCACCTCTCAAAGGAGGATGTGAACTGGGGGGCAGAGGGGATTGGGAGGGCAGGAGATGCCCCTGAGGCTTAAAAGCCTCCTGTGAGCAGGCGGCGCGGTGCCTGGGCAAGCGCGGGCAGCCTGGCATGCCCCAGGGGCTCTTGGCCTGGGTAAGTGGAACCAGCTCCAGGCAGTTCCCCCAGTCCAGCTCCCTGCTGCTCTCAGCAGCCTCAGAAGTGGTTTCTGGCTGGGTGTAGATGTGCCAGGGGGATTTGCTCTCGCTCCCAGCCGGCTCTGTTTGGAAGAGCTGTGGTCATGTGGCATCTACTTGAGTAACAGCTTCAATTAAACGCTCTTGACAAGCTGTTGTGTGACTGGTGAACTAATGGGAGGAGCCCCCTCCTCAACTGCTGAAGTTCAGACTCCAGCAGGGACAGAGATCAAACATGCAGCTAATTACCCTTTTAACACTTAAACATACCCCCCTCCTTCAGGGGAAAGGCAGCAGTTCCAAGCAGCAGCTTCTGTGCTGGGATCCCCCAGTGCCAGCTTGGACCAGGCTGGCTCAGCACATGAGGTGGGTCAGGCATGAGGTGGGCAGTGGGATTGCAGCTTCTTCCCGCTCCAGAGCTACTCATCACCTTTTTCCTCCTCTATATGGAGCAATTGGGTCGAGGGCAGGTGTGAGTTGGGAATCACCCACCCCTGCTCCATGCAGGATGCAGAAAGGGAGGCTGCAAAGAAGGGAGATGGAGCATCTGACTTGCTCCCCTCTGAACCCCCTCTCTGTCTCCTAGAGTGTGTGTCTGAAGACTGCCGCTCTGTCATCCAGGAGCAGGCCACAGCCCTGGGGCTCTCCATGTTTGCACTCTTGGTGAGGAGGTGCACCAGCCTGCTGAGGGAATGCATGCCAGGTAAGGGGTTCCATGCAGGAACCATCCATGCAGCTGCCCGTGAGGCAGCCTGGTGGGGTTCAAGCCCTTATTCCCTTCTCCTTCCCCTCTGCTTCCCCTTGGGTTCTCCCCCAGCATCCCAAGGTCTGCCCAGGTTATGGCTGGATCATCTGGCAGGAAAACCCCTGTTGTGTGTGCACAGGCAAAAAGGCTTGGAATAAAGGGATTGACTTAAGGCATGCTTTAGCCAGCCTTCCCAAAACTGGGACCTCAGAATCCTCTATGACTGGTGCAGTGGCACCCCACTGCCCTCAAGAAAAGGGATCACAGACATCCCAGTTCCCCCCCCCCACCCTGGCTAGTCTGTTTAGGGAGAACAGATCTGTCTTTGTGCTTGCTGTGGGTTGTGGCTGTTCCCTTGTGCATCCAAGGCTGGGATGTTGGGATCAGTGTCGTGCATCCCCAGTCCCTACCCAAGCCTGGCTCCTGGCTGCAGTGAGCTGCCTCAGCTCTCACATCTTGTATTTGCAGTTCAGCCACAAGAGGTGGAGCAGGAGGATGAGGAGGACGACATCAAGGTCTCTGCCTTGCCCCAGGACCTGAAGGAGCTGCTTCCCAGTGTGAAGGTCTGGTCGGACTGGATGCTTGGCCACCCGGACACATGGAATCCTCCTCCGACCTCTCTCGAGCTCCCCAAACAGTACGTGCATCCTCTGCTCTGTCTTCTGGTGTCTGCTCCCTCCTTGTGTCACCTTTCCCCCTTGCTCGTGCTCACTCCTGGCTGTGGCACTCTGCCCTGAGCCCCCAGGAGAGGCTCACTGCACAGGGGATGTTTGGGAAGGAATTGTCACCTTGGGTGACCATAACTTCTTCACTAGATGGGACTCAAGTGTCTCCCAGGGGGCTTGGTGGGTGCCGTTTGCTTCTGTGTGTTAGGAGATGGCCCATTTTTACTTTCTACTTAGGATGTGCATCTGCTTTTGTTGGGATACATCTCCTTCACGTGCTCTGCATGTAGGCAGGACCTTCCCCTCTACAAGAGGGAAGTCCCATTTCCAGCATAAGCACTTTCTTGCCTTTTGACTGAATCAGGCCAACCTTGGCCAGGCTGGGCTGGCCTGGAGCAGCCTGTCTTGTTCCTGGAGCTCCGAAAGTGGCCTCCCTTCTGCTTCAGAACCAGCTTGTCTCTACCTCTGCGACACACAGAAGGGTTAATCTTCCAAACTGGCTGATTCCAGCCCATTAGTCCATAATGCGGACTAGGCAATTTGCATATTTTTGGACAGAAAATCAAGTGAAGGGGCCAAGTATGGAGTATGCAAAAGAGTGTCTGAGCATGCTCCGTAGCTGCTTTCCCGCAGGATTTTCCATCTGCCTCCGGTACTCCGGATCCAGAGCCTGAAATCACGTCTTATTGTTAATCCAAAGAAGCCAGAACCCAGGGTGATGGGAAGGCACATTAAGGGTAATCCAGCAAAGTGGCTTAACCATTAATGGGTCCCCGCTCCGTGCGTCAGGTCCAGTCCCGCTCTCCCGGTTTATTGCCTCTTACTCCAGTTCTTTTTCATTTGGCTGAGGAAATGGAAATCTCACACAGGAAGTTCTGGGCCTCATTTTGTGGAGATGGAGTCTGTTTTCTGTTTGTCGGCTGCTCGGTGTGGGACCGCTGCCTGCTCATGTGAACTGCTGCCCATCTTTGGGCAGGAACTCAAACTGGGATCTGTCACGTGAAGCCGCCTGCACCAATCCCCCCCATTCCCTGCGCAGGGAGACGCCGCTGAGCCCTTGGCGACGGGCAGCCAAGATGGAATTTCTGATGGGGTTCGGCGCAGCCAGCGCTCGGCGCCTGCCTCCCCCTCCTGCAGGGCACGGGGCTGTGTCCCTATGGAGCAGGTGCCGGCTCCTGCGTGTCCCTTGGGGTGGGAGAAGGTGGTGGTAGGGGAGCAGCGGGTGTGGGTTGGGGGGCTCTACTCCACAAGGTCTGCTCAGTGGAGGAATGAGGATCTTCGTCTTGAAGCAGAGGCCCAACTGCTTCCCCATGTTGCCTTCTCCATGGAGAAGGAGCAAGCAGCCCTTCCTGTCCCGCTGTGTCCATACTCTGGGGCGTGGGCAGCCTTCCTCATGTTGGCTCCCAGCTCCTCCACCCTGGTGCTCTTTGGCTTTGTCTTATCCATGCGACTCTTTCAGCCCAGAGCTCTTGTGTGGATGGGTGTTAGTGGTCCAGGACTCTGGGACAACAGTGAGCTTCCCTGGATGTGTGTAGCGATGAAGAGCAGGGAACCAGCTCCACTCTTGGGCATGACCTGGGATTTACAGCGTTTTCCCTGGAGGTAGGAAAGGAAAAAGGAGCACTGGGCTAGTGTTTCAGCTCTCTATTGACACAAGGCTGCTGTCTGGCCTGGGGCTGCTCAGTAACCAGGTAGAGTCACCAAGTCCTGGGGTTTAGATAGGAGCAGTTTCAAAGGAGTTTGGAAGTAAAACACGGGTCAGAGCAGCAGGCGTGTTGGAGTAAGCCAAGGTTTGTGGGCAGGCTGAGCTCAGGAGCAGAGAGAGCGTGCGAGGAGCAAGCACAGATGCCAAGTTGCAGGACTAAGTGGCGTTTGCCATTCCCACATGGTGATGGGATGTGCCACAGGGTCCCTACCAGTAGAAGAGCTGCTTGGACACACTGAAACTGCCTTCCAGCACTCTACAGCCATCACTTTCATTGGTGGCACAGAAGAAGGGACTGTAATAAAACCCCACAAACCCTGAAGCACAGAAGCACCCTGCAAGGATGCCATGAATGTACTCAAGCTGCTGGAAAACCCAGGCCCCGTACCCACCTGGCAGCCCCACTAGAGCAGCAAAGACCTGGCTCAGAGCTTCCACCAAAGAGCAGCTCATCCGGGGCCAGCACCGCTGCCAGGATGACGGCCTGGGCTGGGGGCCAGCAGGGCAGCTTGTCAAGACTCCACCAGCGCCTGGATCCCGCGCCGCACATCCCAAGGCCTCCGCGCTCGCCATGTTTCGGGATGGCTCCTCCTTTAGTATAAAGGAGAGAACTGAAGAAGGGGGGGACATTGAGAACGTTTAAACTCAGCCCAGCTGTGGCAGTTGGTTTATTGCTTTCAGCTGGTACTTGAACCCGGGTCCTTGGTCTTGGAGTCTTTCCCAGGTTTAATCCCCGGAGCTTTCTCTGCAGCTGTATGACACTGCGCTGACCCCGAATGAGGATAGGAAAATAGAACCCGTGCCAAGCCAGAGTCTCTTTTTCATTTGGAGTCTGGCTGTCTGCCCATGACCAGGGTTACATAATGGGAAACATAGCTGGGGCTCTGGAGAGCCCGCGTTTCACCACGCTGCCCAGACCTTCGCGTTCTGATGCTATATATCTTCCTAATTGTAGCTCGGATGCATTTATCACACTGCTGGATTTGAGTCCTTGCAGTAACAAAAAAAAAAGAAGGAGAACTGCAAAACCCCACACCAAATTCCTCAGCTCGCTGCTTTCCCCCTTTGGATAGAGGTGGAGGGAAAGGTGTGAGGGGTGAGAGGTGCTGAAAGCCACCATGCAGGAGTGGGCTCTGCGGAGCGGGATGGGAGGCTGCATCCTCAGGGTCCTTCTCTTGGCAGGGGTTTGGCAATGAGCCCCATCTCCTGGCAGGCATCTTCTTGCTACCTGGGGGCTCAGTGGTTCCAAATTCAACCCGAATGAGAAGCTACAGCTTTCCCTAAAATCATGCTCCTTGGTCTAGTGTGCTCATTCAGCTCTTGGCCGCACCAGCGTGGTCACCATGGCTCAGCGGATGCACTGGGGTGTGTTTTCAGGCCAGAGGGCCATGGACAGGTGATAGGTTGCCTGGATTTGGAACTAGATGATACTTGGAACTAGATGAACTTTAAGGTCCCTTCCAACCCTAACCATTCTATGATCCTTCTCTTGAGGCTGCTGTATGTATTTGAGTGGTGATTTTGGGAGAGGGGCTCAGCGAGTTTTCCATGGCTCTTTCCTCAAGTGTTTCCAGATTAGGAGCTAAACCTGACTGTGGACATCTCTTTTCAGAGCTGCAGTGTCCTGTGGCTCAGGGATTGCATGTTGCCAGGTCTTCTAGCAGCCAGCAACAGTCACTTCTGCATCTTACAAGTCAGTTATATCTGCATGTTTCATGGCAAACGTTGCGTTGAGGTCTGAGCAGTTGAAAGCAGTTGCACTAACGTGTAACTAACGTGCAACTGGGTTGGAGAAGTGTCTTTCAGACCAACTTTCCCCCGGAGTCATTTGCAGAGATCAGGGTGTAAAAAGCAGGAAGCCTTGGGGAGAGGGGAGCAGCGTGGATCTCCTTAGGCGGAGATATTAGCAGCAGATGGGGTGACAGGCAGACCTCCAAGTGAATCCATCTCCTTTTGGGACATATGGCTGTGAAGAGGGCTGGGCAGGGGACGGCAAAAGCTTCTCCTTGCTCTACTTTGGTTGCTGCAATGAGTCCATGGCTAAATGAAGCACAAGAATCGATGGGGAAGCCACTGGCTAGACAGACAAACTGCTGCAGGGCTGACCCTGGCAGGTCTGTGCTCCTTCCACGCTGAGGCGAAGGGCCTCTCGGTTTGTGGAGACTGTCTGCAAGCATTTAAAAATGGTTAATTTAAACCAAGTATTAAATTAAATCCAAAAGCTCTGAGCACATTCTAGGGCTTACCTTCCCAGAGAGATGTGCCAGATCGCTCTCATCACATCGCTCTTGCAGAGAAGTGTCACTGAGATGGCAGCTCCCACTGGGAGAGATGGACAGAGTCTTGGACAGGGGTGCCAAGACCTTGTTGGAGTTTGCTGGAGACTAAATGGAAAATCCCTTTAGCAGATCCCAGCCTTCATTAGTAATGCTGGCCACCACGGTTTGCCTATTGAGACATCAAAGTGAGCATTCAGAGGTGTCTCGGTAGTGTAAACCTGGCTGAGAATGAAGGTAACATGGACTGAAGCAGAAGCCAGAAGTCTCAGTGGAGAAGGGGGCTGTGGCAAAGCAGAAGCTGGCTGGGAGGAGACTGCACCTCTCTGAGGAGGAGAGCATCCATCTAGCTCCAAAGGCAGATTCCCTGGAGAGGGATTGGTTTATGGATGCCTGGAGTGGCTAAAGGGGACTGTGTGCAGGGCAGAGTGAGGAAATCACTGGTGCCACAGGGCAGAGGGGCTGCGATCACAGGGGTGAGTCCAGGGTAAGGTTGGTGAAGCTTGGGAAGAGCTTCCACTGCCAACCCCTTTTGTTCATAGAATCATGGAATGGTTTGTGTTGGAAGGGACCTTAAAGCTCCTCCAGTTCCAACCCCCTGCCACGGGCAGGGACACCTTCCACTAGAGCAGGTTGCTCCAAGCCCCCGTGTCCAACCTGGCCTTGAACACTGCCAGGGATGGGGCAGCCACAGCTTCTCTGGGCACCCTGTGCCAGCGCCTCAGCACCCTCACAGGGAAGAGCTTCCTAAAACAGGAGCTGCTTTTAGTTCACCATCCCCTGGGCCGGGAGAGAGGCAAACTCAGGAGGGGAGGGACGCAGAGCACTTTGTGCAGGGTGTGCACTGGTGCTGCCTCGCACCGGGAGCCGGTGTGTCCGTGTTGCAGTGATCCTGGGGTGTTTTCCATCTGCCCAGCAGCGCGGCTCTCGGCGGCCAGGGAACACAATGCAGGGCTTCTTCTGCTCTGTGCTTTCCGGGTTTGTTCTGCAGCTGTGGAGTTTGACTGTTAGTGTTTAAACAAGCTGGTATTACACAGGAAATGGCCACCTCCACAGGCCCCCGCAGGCCTGGAACATGGGGTCATTGTGCTTGATATTAATCACCAGGCAGCCCCCGGTGAAGATGGTGGCTCACACTGGAGTGCCGCGTAACGCCGGCGAGCATCACCGTCATGTCCTCTCCTCCTCTCTGTGCCTTTTGCCTTGGGGTGATGCATGCCCACGGTGGGCATCATCTTGGGCCATGGAGCCATCCCCATGCAGAGCTGTGCCGTGGCTGTGGCCACGCACTTGTGCTCTCCCCACTGGTGCCTGGCCGGGCTGTGTCCTGTCGGCGTGCAGCTGGGCTGCACTCACACTGACAGCTACATTAAACCTGGAATCCTGAGGCAATAAAAAAGAAATTAACTCTTATTTTTTTTTCCTGTCCGAGTGGAATAAGCAAATGTAAATGTGTCTGTGGGGAAGGGAATGAACCCCCCGTTCCGAGGAAAGACCTCGCGCTAACCCCCTGCTCGCTTCCTTGGTTAAAAGCTCTGGGAGCCTCATCCCTGTACCTGGGAGCTGCGTGCCTGGGCTCGGTGTCAGTAATGCAGGGCCTCCCTCCACAGAGGGATGCTGCAGCCGTGGCACTGTGTGGATACAGCAATTCCAGGCACCTGGACCTGCCTTGGCTTTGCAGAGAGGCTCTGGTGAGGTGACATAAGCCAGAAACGCCTGGAGGTGGCCACGGTGTTATCCTGGGAAGGGGCCTGACAGGACTCCCAAGTGTTGTGTGACCTTGTAGGGCAAGTGCCTGTCCCAGCAGGAGATCCATGGAGCTGTACAGTGTCAGCATGAGCTCTTAGTCCTCGCTGGCTTTGCCACTGGGTAGCCAGCAAATGATCTTGATGGTGCTGGCGCTGGGAGACGCACTGCAGAGGAGGAGCTGCATCCAAAGGGAAGGCAGGGAACTGTCAGACCTGCTCTCTGCAGTGCTGCCTCTGCATCGCAGGAGCAGAAGTGCCAACACCTTGTTCTCTGTTGGCTTTCTGAAGGCTCTGAAGGGTGCTGCATGTGAGAGGGTGCTGGGGGCTGCGTTGCAGTGAGTGAGCCTGGGGAGCCAGCACAGTCTGTGCCTTGACTGAAGCAAGCCCAGGGTGGAAACTTAACACATCCAGTGTGAATGACAGATGTGGCAAGGCACTGGAAAGCCGGAGGGAGCTGGTGGATGAAGGGGATAAAGTGACAGGGAATGCTGTGGTGCTCAGGAGGTGGCGATGGGCTGCAGTGCTGCAGTGGGGGGAGAGGAGAGGGACCACAGGGCTGGGTGGCTGCAGGGGAGTTAGCATCAGCTCCGTGACTGTTCACATGGCATCTTTCTGCCTTTGGCTCCCCCTGTTCTTCATCTGGGCTGCTCCTTCACCCCACGACCACCCCTGCCCTGCTGTGGATCCCAGCCTTGCCCAGCATCCCACTGCTACCCTCAGCCTCCCTCACACCCTCACTTGTCATCTCCATCCCCTGCCTGCAGCTCTGTTTCTTAGGGAATACCAGCAAGGTCTCTGCAATGTGTTTGTTTCCCTTCTCCTCCACTGTGGCTATCTCAGCCATCTGGGAGCATCCTCTGCATCTCAGCCTGTCCCCAGCACCTCAGTGCGCCTGTTCCCTGTGGTTGCAGGCACTGTTCCCCGTTTCTCTCCTCCTCATTGATGCCTGCAGCCTCTGCATCTCCTTCATCCAAGCCGATGCTGGGGCCCCACCAGTGCTATGTGACCGGCCTCAGGCAGCCAAGCCCAGTTGCCAGCAGGGCACTGGGGGAGGGCTGAGCCTCCCAAGCCCTGTGCATCTCCCATGGGCAGAGCTTGCCTTGGAGGTGGCCCAGAGCAGCCCTATCACATCCGGTGCTTGTCTCTGCAGCCAGGGCTGGAGGATAAACTATCAGGGCTGTGGGGCAGTGGATCATTCCTCTTATTATTTTCTTCTTTTGCAGATAGGGGTCGTGGAAAGTTCAGTTCCTTTTAACCCTCGAAGCTCTGTTTATTTTCCAGCTGGTAGCACAAACGCAGCATTTCCCATTACATCACAAAGGGCCTCGGACAGATCCCTCCACCAAAAAAAAAGAAAAAAGCAAAAAGAAGAAGAAGAAACGTGTTGCAACTGTTTATTTTTTTCCATATTTAAACATTTCTGACAGCCAGACCTGGCTGAGCCAAGCAATGGAGCTTTGTGAATGAACCCAGCTCCTGGTGTCTGTGACCAGAGGGCTCTCTGCGAAGGACCTCTCATCCTCTTGCAGCGTGCAGGGCTGGGGCTGGCTTAGGGATGTGGGCGACTCTGCGGTACATGTGTGCTGATTACGTGCCGGGCTTTGATTAATGGCTCCTCATTCTGCCTGGCTCCCAGGACGCTCTTGAAAACAAGATGTTTCATTTCAGTGTGCTTTCCTGGTACATTGATTCCCGTAAATAACCCAGTGCAGACTCTGTCCACCTGGAGCAGTTCAAAGAGCAGGGGGCCTCCCTCCAGCCCTGCGCTGCCTTGAGCTGCACCGGTCACTGCTGCGCTCCTGGTGATGCTGTGCTTTTTGGGTGTCCCAGAGGGATGGAGGAGCAGCCCTCCTTAATGCCAGCAGAAGCAGATCAGCTCCAGTTTCCCCTATTTCATGCTTTCATCCTAGTTAATGCACTAAAAGTACCCTATCTGAGTGCTTTTAGAAACAGGAGGAAGAAATGCAGTGCAGGGCAGCCTAATAGAATCACAGAATGGTTTAGGTTGGAAAGGACTTAGAGCTCGTGTAGTTCCAACCCCCTGCCGCGGGCAGGGACACCTTCCACTAGACCAGGTTGCTCCAAGCCCCATCCAGCTGCATTGCCTCTGTGCTTGTTCCCTGCTACCCCCATGCTCACCCTCCCTGGGGTGCTGGGTCCTCCCCAGGGTGTGCTCAGCGATGGGGACGTGTGATGGGATGCGGTCCAGGGATGCTGGTGGCCTCATGTTCCTGCTCTGAGAAGGTGATGCACCACAGAGGCAGCATGGCAGGTCCCTCATGAGTGTTGATACCATGGCCAGAGGAAAAACCTGGCTTATTCCCACCGGGGCTGGGGTTTAACAAGGAATATCTCTGTGCACATGGATGCAGCAGCATGAAGGAAAAGGTGCCCTGGCCTGGGATGGAACCCCCTGGGCTGAGCTGGGCTCCCTCCAGGCTGGTCTGGACCCCTCCAGACGCCCCTTTCACCCCACAGCAGTGTGTCTGCTTGCTCTGTCCTCCCAGCAGGCTTAAATTGAGTAACAAGCATCATTTCTCCCATCTGGAACGAGCCGGGTTCCCGCTGGCGCTGCACAGGGAAGCTGCTTCCCGCGCATGTGCCGGCTCGGGAGCGGGCAGAAGTGGGCAGAACAGTGGGAAGGGTGAGATCCTGGGAGCTGTTCCCTATCCAAGGGGGTGGAGGGAGGACATGGGATGGTCGGTGTCATGGGCTACAAGCCCTGGCAGGTTCGGTGCCAGCGCAGCTGCGGCCGGAGCCCTCCCGGTGGGGTAGGTCGGTGGTGGTAGTGGCTGTGCCTCGCCTCACCTCTCTGGTATTCACTGCAGCATTGCAGGCAACTCCCAGCGCATTCCAGCCCGGAATTGCTCACGTCTCTCCTCGTTCTCCCAGGGTCTCAGTAGATGTGTGGGCGACGCTGGCTGACTTCTGTAACATACTGACCACAGTGAATCAGTCGGAGGTGCCCTTGTACAAGGACCCAGATGACGACCTTGCCCTGCTAAGCCTGGAAGAGGATCGGCTGCTCTCGGGCTTCGTTCCCCTGCTGGTCGCCCCCCAGGAGCCCTGCTACGTGGAGAGGACCTCGGACAAGGTCAGCAGTAGGCCAAACATCCCCCCTTCGATTCCTCCACAGACTTTTATTCTTGGGAAGTTTTCTGTGCAAACGGAACACGATTAAGTCATTGAGAAGGGTGTTAAGGGAAAATATCGACCTTTCAGCCGCTGACATCCAGCTCTGTGTCATGAAAACCCCTCTCGACTTCCTCTGGTGTGTGTGTGCTCGCTGGCATGTTGTATATACGATCATTTCCTCACTTGTTTAAATAGTGCAGCTTGTGTTGGCAGTGCTCTCAGTGCACTCCAAATGGTTTGCATCATGCTTAAAGCACCCTCCCCCTCCCCCCGGCCACAAAACTCTGCCTTAGGAAGGCAGCCAGGACTTTTTTCCCTTCTCTAAAGAGGAGAGTGATAAATAGGTGACTAGAGAGAAGCAGACACCATGTGTTAACGTACAAAAGGCTTTTAGGAATATGAAGCATTCCCCACTGCCTGCTCTCTATTTTCCTTTCTTTGCTCTAGGAGCCTATTCTAGGCTGAACTTTCCTTTGGCTGTTTGTTTTTAGAATAATGAAATCAGTTCCCTTGTTGATGTGGGGTTTTGGGGCTGCTCTCTGCCACCACCTGGCCAGAAGGGACCTGGGGGCTGCACTTGGATAACGTGTCTGAACCTGAGTGGAGGGGGGGGAGGATGGAAGAGGCACAATGGCATTTGTTTTGCACTCCCTTGGAGGCACGGCAGGATAAGAGTGGCTCTCAACAGTTTCCTGCTTGGAGGCAGGAACGCTGCTCATCTGGGAAGAGCTTTCCCAAGAGGCCTGTGCTCCAAGAGGAGATATAGAGGCTGGTTTCTGTGGAGAACCTGTGTGTGATGGTGGTAATGTGCCTTCCCATGTGCCACTTCTTGGCATTTTCCTGGTATGACAGTGAGAAATCCAGGACCTTTGTCGCAGAGGGACCCAGGAGATTTGGATTTCTGTTTCACTCTCTCTCTGCCCATGGAAAAATGGATTTTGAGGACTCTATTTGAAGGGGTTAAAACAACAAGCATGTGGTTGCCATTGCTGCCCTGAGCAACGTGTGTTGCCCAGTGTGTGTTGTGTCCTCCCTGGGGTTCTGGGGGCAGCCCCAGTGCCCCATTCGCTACACAGGGACTCTTTCCTCAGCAGCCACAAACCAGAGCCCATACAGGCAGGTGAGGGGAATGAGCAGCTCCTTCTGGTGCCCTGTAACTTGTGGGAAGGGGTTGGTATTCCCTGGATCTGCCTCTTGTAACCACACACCAGTTTATTCGGAGTGCCATCTACCTGCCCTGCCGGGCACTTGCACTCATCTTTGTAAGAGAAGAGACATGACCTGTCGTGGAGCTACACCTGAGCTTCTGAGCCGAGTTTTCTCTCTGTCCTGGTTCCCTTTGGTTCTGGTGCTTTATAAAGAGACTCCAACAGCTCTGGTAGGAGCTGGTGCCCTTCCCAGCTCAGCAGCAGCCACCCGAGCATCCGGGATTATCAGCACAGTGGTACCAGCACAGCTCTGCTGGAAGGGAAACACAAATCCCAGAGAGGAGCCAGGCCTGGCTGTGTCTGTCCCCCTTTCCCTTCCTTTTCTCTTCCTTTTCCCTTCCTTTTCCTTTTCCCTTCCCTTTCCCCACCTCCGTGGCTCTTGTTTGGTTTGAAAGTAGCTGACTTTGGAACCACCCAGCAGCTTGGGGTGTTGTTGGCACAGGTCTTAGCCCCTGTTGTGTTCCAGTTGTGTTGTGTCACCTTCTGGTCTCTGCCTTACGCACCAAACACATCTCATGGAGGTAGACAGAGGAATCCACTGGTTCCAGCACTCGCCAGGACATGCTGAGCAATGGATTCTGCAGGGTCTCTTCTCAACCCAGTACTGACCTAATGGTCAGAATGGTGAAACAGCAGCTATGGGTACTCACTGTGCAGAGGACACTTAGGAGGGTTAAGGGGAGGCCAGTGGGACAGAGCAGGGATCTCACAAGCCTGACTTCCCAGAAAGGACTGGAAGATCTGGGGCTGTTTAGTCAAGAGGAGTTTCAGGGGAAATGCAGTGAGCTGTTGCAGAGAAGAGCAGGACAAACTGACCTCCAGCTCCATGCGGAAAAGCACAGGAAGGAATGAACATAAATTGCAGCAAAAACTAGACTTTAGGGAAGGCTTCATACCTTTGGTAGTTAAACACTTGAAAGCAGCCTCCTTAGTGACTCCACAGGATCTCTTCAGCCTTGGAGATGTTTGAAAGCAGGTTGGTGGCTCACTCAGCTGTAACTTGGGTGGAGGTGAACCCCTTGGCAAGGACGCAGAGTGACCTCTTTGGATGCTCCTACCCCGTTTGTTGTGATGGGACTGGAATGGCAGCTGCATCATTGCAGTCAAATGATGGCTTTGTTTCCCTGAGGTGTTAATGAAGTGAATGATTTGACTCCCCAGAAGTGGGGTGTTGCAGAAGACAGTGCAGCCCAAGCCAGGAAGGTGTGACAAAGGGGCATGAACCCATATGCCTTTCATGAAGGACTGTGGGCAAGATACAGAAAGGCCCTTCCCTGCAAAGAAGCCCCAATCCAACTTCTCTGGGGATCCTTGTGTGCGGTCCCAAGGCCACCATCTGCTCCCTGCCCTCCTTTAAGCTTGCAGAGCCCAGATGAACCTGACTCCTGAGCAGATGCATCTTCGGGCTGTTTGCAGTGTTTGCTGTGTCCATGCCAAAGTGGCTCTGGAAGCACGCTGTGGGACCTTTCCTGTCATTTCCATGGCTAGGAAGAGGTGGTTGGCTTTTCGCTGCAAGGATAGTATCTCACCTTGCTCGCTGATGCTCCAAGTCCTTCCTCCATGCTTTTGTACCATAGTTTAATGAATTTGTAACATTTTGGAAGAGAGGAATCTGTTGAAAGGCAAGACCTTAACCTGCCAGAGGGGAGATTGAGATGAGCTCTTGGGCAGAAGCTCTTCCCTGTGAGGGTGCTGAGGCGCTGGCACAGGGTGCCCAGAGAAGCTGTGGCTGCCCCATCCCTGGTAGTGCTCAAGGCCAGGTTGGACACAGGGGCTTGGAGCAACCTGCTCTAGTGGAAGGTGTCCCTGCCTATGACAGGGGTTGGAACTGGAGGAGCTTTAAGGTCCCTTCCAACACAAACCATTCCATGATTCTGTGACAACTGGAAAGCACTGGGCTCGACATGGTGTTACGTTATTTGTTCTACCAAGAGGATGGTTGGTTTGTAACCTCTATAGGACAAACGCTGTGCTTCCCTATTCTTTCTGTTCTCCACGTCCCATTTAGCAGATGGAGTGCAGTGTTCAGCCAGAGTTCCTCAGCAACTTTCTGAGCATTTGGCCTGGCTCTTATTTTGATGCCTCCGTTCTTGGCCATGAAGCTGCGCGTTCGGATTCCTCTGGGAGCCAGTGTAACACTGAGAGCTTCCCATCGTCTCCTGCACTGTCATTGAAGCTGTAACCAACAAAAGCTGGCTCTGGGGGGAGCATAACTTGGTGATGTTTTCCTGGGCGTATGTTGGGCAGATAGCCATTGCAGCTTGTGTGATGGAACACCATTGAACGTACCAGTCAACACCAAACTATGCAGCCTGGTGCCTGAGCTGTCAGACTGTGTCTGCAGCATTTGCAGCCGAAGGAGACACTGCCAGGACCACACTCACCCAGGATTGCACCCGAGGCAAGAGCAGCGTAGAATCATAGAATGGTTTGGGTTGGAGAGGACCTTAAGATCATCCATTTCCAACACGCTGCCATGGGCAGGGACACCTCGCACTAGACCATGTCGCCCAAGGTTCTGTCCAGCCTGGCCTTGAACACTGCCAGGTATGGAGCATTCGCCACTTCTTTGGGCACCCTGTGCCAGGGCCTCAGCACCCTCACAGTAAAGAACTACTTCCTTATATCTAACCTGAACTTCCCCAGTTTTAGTTTAAACCCCTTTCCTATTGTCCTGTTGCTGCAGTCCCTGAGGAAGAGTTCCCCTTACGCATCCTTGTAGGCCCCTTCAGGTACTGGAAGGCTGCTGTGAGGTCTTCACCCCGTGCCAGGGCCTCAGCACCCTCACAGTAAAGAACTACTTCCTTATATCTAACCTGAACTTCCCCAGTTTTAGTTTAAACCCCTTTCCTATTGTCCTGTTGCTGCAGTCCCTGAGGAAGAGTTCCCCTTACGCATCCTTGTAGGCCCCTTCAGGTACTGGAAGGCTGCTGTGAGGTCTTCACACAGCTTCTCTTCTCCAGGCTGAACAGCCCCAATGTTCTCAGCCTGCCTCGTGGCCTCCTCTTGACTTGCTCCAAGAGCTCCATGTCCTTAGTTGAAGACACCAGAACTACTCCAAGTGGGGTCTCACGAGAGCAGAGTAGAGAAACAGGATCACCTCCTTCAACCTTCGTGGCTGAGTTAAGGTTCAGGATGAAGGAAGGCTGCAACTGTGGATTCATCAGGTGGTGCTGCCATGGGGGACTTGTAATGGAAACCACTTGGGTTGTGTTGAGGCTAAAGCAAGTCCTGGTGATGGTGCATCCGGGTCTGTTCTTGTGCAGCCCTGGGAACGTGGGGCATGTCCTGGTTTGCTCAGCTCCCACTGAATCCTGTTGTCCCAGGAGCATCCTCCTCTGCAGTGGTCCCCTGGAGCTGGTCGCCAGGCTGGAAGCTCACCAGCATGACGCAGAGCAGGGAGGTCCTTCTCTCTACAAGCACATGGTGCCACCACTTGCCCACATCCCTGTGAGCTCCGCATGGGCTCAATGCATCCATCGCCCAACCCCACACACTGCCACATGCCCCAGGCAGGGAGATGTGGAGGAGAAAGTGTTAATGTCCCTTCCCACAATAAACCTCTCTGCATGGGGGGTCCTGAAACCTGAACCTCTCCCTCCTCCCCCAGCCCTGACACACGTTAATAAAAGGTTTTTAAAGCCAATAAAAGGCAGCAGCAGCCCCAGCTCACCAGGTCCGGGGCCCAGGGTCCTTGGGAAGGCACTTCACAAATGTGTTTTTTGCATTTTCAGGCTTTTGGCTGGTGAAT